CGCATCGACGCTCGGTTACGCTCCATTGACCAACCTGCTGGTCCTTTCGCCGCTAGTGCTCCGGATGCTACACCCAAGCTGGGATTCGCCCCTGATTACCATGCGATGGGGTATGTGAACGGTGCGAATGGGAATGGAAATGAGAATGGCGGCTCGAGCTCGTCGCATTCAGACGAGTTGAGTGCGTCGGTGAGACCGCCGATCCCTGCGAAATCCCCTATTTACATCGATTGAATGATTTTTACTCTCCTAACGTTTTCTCTTTCGACCTCTCGTGAGCTGAGTGCATCAGTTCCATCGCCACTCTCATTTATTGCACGGATTTCTCTTTCTCTCTCTCATCATCTGTCGGTTTGATATTTGTCTACTCATTTACTATCTATCACCTATTGTTTACGATACCACTCTCTCAGACTTCCACTTCTCCCTCCCCACCCTATTCGCGACTCGCGAGGATCAATCTATACTGATTGACTGGTACTTGGCTTTCAAATCTCTTATTACGCCGTGTATACCTTACTATTTACTCGCCGGTCTGACAGGTGATTCTATTCATTCTCCTGTACGTGCATATTCATACCCCCTCCCACCGGATGTGTGACCCTAATTTATGACTTTCTTTGGTTCGCGGTCTCAAAACTCCAGTCTGATTCGTCACCGTTGATACCAGAAATGAAAAGTCAGAGGTGAATGTTAATGAATGCATGGGTATATACAGAAAGAAAATGGTGGTATACATCATGATGTGACTGAACAGTTGCTTTCGCGGAATATGTGCATGAGGAACATATGAAGAGGCCGACTCGCGTGCATGTGTAAGCGACAAGTTCAGGCCTCGGATTGACCCAATTCAAGAACTTCGTGCTCAATGAGAACATACTCCCGCCCTTCAGGTCCTTCCCAGCTACCGATCATCAGTTTCAGCCAAGGCGTTTTGATCTCGGGGGTCTTGCGGCGAGCTAGGAAGGCTTCACGATGATCCTCCAAGTTTCCCATTATGGTCGCCATTCGCTCCCGGAAAATGTCGTAATCTTCAAAGTTGTCCCGAAAGTCAACAGGCTCTAGGTCACGCAGCAGCGTGTTCTGGACATTTACACGTCAGTATAACGATCGGCATAGGCAGGGTCAGTGGCGGAACACACTCGAGTGCTATTGAATCCTAGGAGCAAAGTGTCCCCGTCTAGGTCTTGTATCTCCAAGAAAAACTGATACTTCGGCACGACTGTGGAATCAGTCATACTTTCGGTACACTTCGTACAATGTTTGTAACTGGAAGGCAAGCTGGAAATGAATCGAGTTAGCAGACTGGTAACGCAATACAAATCTGAGACGCACTCTTCCTTGCATTGAGTGCAATACAACACCACGAAGTCTTCCAATCTTAGCGGCCAAAAATCCACTACCCGGGCGACGACCATGAATCTAGCGGGACAGATGCTGCAAGCCGCTACTTGTCTGAATGTCTTCGTGCCTCGTGTTAGACCTAGTTTCCGAATCGCCTCGACCTCAGGGCTCGTGCCCCCTTTCTCGTTTCCCCCGGACTTGTCCTTTCTACGAGTTTCCGTCTGGGTCTTCTCTGCTTCCCGCTGCTTCATTGTTTCTTGCCATTCCGCTCTCCGTCTGTGAAATATCTACTGTCAGTATTTGGGTGATTTTCTGAAATGAGGAAATCCATACTCAAGGAGTGCACGCAAATCGTCACTTGCAGAATTCTTTGCGTTAAGTTTGTATATCAACCTCTGAGAGCCTCTCATCTCGCCGAACATAGCCTGCCTTGAGCTGTTGCCGCGTAGCCGGAGATTGCTTAGCGAGACAAAGTCGCCAATTGATAGCGATTCTGCTGTCGCTGCCTGTTCATCGTGCAACTCAACCTTCAAGATGTAGTCCTTATCCAAGTCAGTCGGGCGATCCTCGAAGGGTCGGACTGGTGCGAGGTTCGTCCGTTTCATATAATCGGTGACATAAAGATATGTTGTGCCTTCTTCTTTGTCGGCTGAGATATAGAGAATCTGCAAGAGATTGTCAGTGGGGGTAGATACGGAGCGTTGGCAGGACTTGTCACCTCAACCGTGCACCTGAAGTAAGCACCCGTAGTCGCTTTTCCCAGATCTTCAGGGAGGTACGGCAGGGCCTCAGGGTGTTCTGCAGCAGACCGTTTCCATTCCTCTCTTCGACTAGACGGAACATTGAGTTTGCGATCACAATCTTCAGGTGAATACGTACACAAGCAGCTCTTGCAATTCTAGATGTTCCTCCAACTTGTCAGGATTCAACTTCAATATTTTATCCTCAGAGACAGTAACTTCGCGGGTCCCATATTTGTCAGTCTTCATCCTCACGTTCTTAAGCTTGTAGAACTCTCCTGGGTGCATCGTTTCGGCGCGGTTCTTTGCCTCCATCCACATCTCGATCGCGAAAATGTATTCTTCGAGTCCTGGAGGGGCATCACACGAGGCACGGGGGAGTTCGGTATTCCGCGTATAGTCAGTTACGAAGAGGATATGTGGGAAGTTCCGATCAATGCTCTTGTCCTTGTCCAGATGAATCACCTGGTTAGGTCTGTCAGTTTTCAGGTGAAAGCGGTACGAAGCATAAATAGTATACCTCCACAGTACAATCAAAGAAACCCTGTGGTTGAATAAATGGTGTTACGTCCTGGATGAGTCGATGCTTTCTCTCAGACTGTTTCTCAGCTGTAATCTGGTGTACGGTCACTCCATTCTCGCCCTGAGTGTCTTTCTGGTTGATCGCATTCCACCAATCTCCCAAAGCAACGAGATACTTATTCAACGCTGGATCGTTTTCACCGGTTTCGCTGCCTCCGGTGTCCATGTTGCTTGCGGGATAATTTGCTTTGACGGGAAATGAACGTAGGTTGCCTGTATTGGGGTCAAAGATGCAGAACCTGGCGTCATGCTTGAACGAGGGGAGACTGCCATTGATAGCACCGGTATGAAAGTTCTGAGAAGTCTGATTCATACGATTAGCAATGTGCGTAGTTGGTGCGTAGTTGAAATATGACATGCATACCGTCATTCCATTGACAATGACAACTCGTCCTGGAAGTCCTTCCGCGCTGAGGCTATTTGCCTCTGCCCTGTGCTTCGTGAAGTACGTTACTGTGAAACCACCGGTCAAGGCTTCTTCGTTCGCTGTGGACGGGTCTACAATAATCAATTTGCAAGACCATTCTAGTAGAGACAACTTAGCATAGACAACACCAAGGGCATTATTAGTCGACTCACCGTGGTTCCGAGTTTCCTTCGGCTGTCCACAAGACGCAATGACCCCAACGACATCTATGGACCTCTGAGCTGTTTTTAATGAGGCAAGAGGCAGGTAACGTGTCTATGTGTGCGCGTGTGAACATCATTGTACCCCTGAAATGAAGTCAACTCACCTTCTTGGTCTCGCAACCCGCTTGCAGATTCAATGCAAGATGGTGCTCATTAGGGGAGGGCATCTGTCGTGCTTCCGTTCGTATATTGTCTTGCTCATTGGGGTCGGAATTACTATTGGTATGGACAGACGTGGTTCGTGATCTGTGTTTCGATGTCACGGAAGGTTCATCCTTTTGAGTCGCCGACTTGGCGGAATGCCGGTGAGGACTACTTTGTGTAGTTTTATGACCGCCACGGTCATCACTAGCAGCCTCTACTTCTTGTGGTTGAGGAATGACATCGACTTGAACCTCCGGATTCTGTCTTGCCAATCTCGCAGCTTCCCTCCGTAATTTCTTCATCTTCTTTTTGCCGAGGCGTCCTTCGCGCGCGGGATCGACATCTTCATGAATAGATCCACCTCTTTCAGACGACGCTTTTGAAGAAGCCTTATGATCTCGATCATGTGGTACGTCGGAAGGCCTCTTTAATGTCGGTGGCGAAGATGAGACGGATTTGGAGACAAAATCTGCCTTGACTCCAGAACTTAGCTCCGTCGAAACACTACTATTCTTGACAGCCTGCGCAGGTGCAGATACCGGTGTTTCGGCAACATCCTCAGGCAATGAGGCATTAACTGTCAGAGGCGCATCCCTAAGTACAGGGCTCCCGGCTAGTGAGCCTGTACCGTTGCGATTGAAGAGCGGAGTTTTCGGTCGCCGTGAATTCGCCTCAGCAGCCATCTTGCATTGGACATCAGGTAGTGCAGGCGTACAGAACCAATCATTTTCGCCGATATTGTCTCGCGCCGAAGTAACTTGCGGGCTTGGCTCGGTACTAAGTTCTGTAGCTACTGTGAAGATTGAGCAAACATGCCGGGTGGTTGGATAGGGTACGTACATGTCTGCCATGTGTCAATGGACAGAGGGGCACCCTTTCGCCTCGTAATTGTGAGTGCGACGCCTTCAGAATACTTTAGCTGCAATGCAATTGGTCTTGTTCCAAGGGGTTTTGCTTCATTTATTGTGGCACCACGCGTGGTAAGCTTGACAACGTCATTGTGATTGAATGATATCCCCTGTTTGACGAGTGCTTCTGCGCATGTTCCAACGAATACTGCCTCGCACAAGACTTCGCTCCCGCCTTCCTTGGTACGCAATGCAACTCGCAGCTTCCTCTCGGCATGTGGCCATTTCATGTACACCGTTCCTTCCAAAAAACCCATACTATCATGGCCAACATCACGAAGATCTGACACTTTGCGTCGCAGATATGGAGGGTAAAGGGTGTCATCGGAATCCGGGGTTGTTGACGAGGACCCACATGAATCTTGCTTTAGTCGTTTGTGGTCGGATCCCGAGTCGGAATCTGCAGGACGTTTCATGTTTGAGTGGACGTGTAGATCAGAGAATAATTATGTGGTTCGAAGAACACGCAACAGTCCAGAATATGGAAAGTACGGCAACATAATCGTGCTTGACGTCGGACGGTCGGAGTTCTTTCTCGCGAGTGTTTGATCGAGACGCGATCACGTGGTTTGTGCTCATCCGCGCTTGGTGGCGTCCAGGCGTCGTCCTTGCCTTGCGGCTCACGATCAGCCGTTGCCACCCAGAAATTCGTGGTGAGATGGCCGAGCGGTCTAAGGCGCCAGACTAAGGTCTTTAACAATATCTGGTCCGAAAGGGCGTGGGTTCGAATCCCACTCTCATCATTTTGCATCTTTTTATCGTGCACTTTGATCTTGTGCGTAGGGACCCCAAGCTTAAGGCATTCATGATTGCTCCACTACTGTACTCAGTCTAGATCCACAACTACACTTGGAGTAAGTACTTCGGTTCCCTAGGCTTGAGTATTCGAGTTGTCACTTCGATGACGTCACAGTTATAAGTGACTTTCTCGCGGAAAATTATGGCGACCGTCTTCGCGGAAAATGTTTTCGCTCAAGTCCCAAGTCCGGAGGGAGGGGCGCCCAACCCCCAACCCCGAGCCGCGTGATATTGGCGCTTATCAGGGCACGTGGCGCTCAACGCCCTGATCGAACACTCAACTCTCAACCCCCAACTCTGCGCTCGTACTCCGAAGGCCACAAACGAGATTGCCTCAACTTCACGTCCGTTTTACTGAAGGCACAGACTCTGCCGTCAAAATAGAGAGCCATGTTCTGACTAGGTAAGTCTGAATCCACTGACTAAATACGTAGATAATTCCGCTACCTATGGCCAAGTGCGAATGCCTCGGACCTCAAGCATCAAGTGCAGCCTGCTTGCCATCGCCGCGCGTGTTCCTTTGGACGCAAGGCCCGGAGCGTTTCGGAGGAACTATCAGATGGTTCGCTGGAGTAGCTGAGTGCATTTACAATGATCTCCAACTCCCGTTTTCCCCTTCCCCTTCCCCTTGCTCCTTTTCTCCTTCCCTCTTACTGCTTCCCCCTTACTACTCCCCCCTCTCCTCCATCTCATCCGGTCTTTCCCCTCTTCCCCCCACCATCATCATTCAAATTTCTCTCAGTGTAAACTACTTCATGTAAGGCTGCAATCTGAACAAATTCATGCGTCTTAGCCTCTTTCCAGTTCTGATTGAGTCATCTCATAGTATTGAAGATCATGAGTAACTTTAATGCGCCGCCGTTTCCACCTGAATTGCAGGCAGCTCTTCTTCAGGAATTCCGAGATCGCTACCATGCATTTGGCCGTCGCATTGAGCAACTGGCCACAACTGCAACTGATTCCGTTGTTGTTGCTCGCCTCGGCGATGACCTTAGAGCTTTCACTCGATTGGTTGAAGAGGTTTGTATTCTTGTTATTCTCATTTGACGCAAATGGTTGATAGGGTTGCTCCTTAGCATCAAAGAATCTTCAACCCTCATGAGTATACTGTTCTGAGAGATAGTCTTGGTCTCTTGGACCACAACATCCGGATTCTTCATCAGGATACCCTTGACCACTCACACCACGGTGTACCTGTCATTCTCACTGAGGTTCACACAGGGCAAGCAGGCCGTCCGAAGCTTGTTATCGACCGTCAATGGCTTGCTTGGGCATATGGTCACCAATCTATTGCTAAGATTGCGCGTTTCCTTGGTGTCCACCGGTCCACCGTGCGCACTGCTCTCATTGAGTATGGGCTGGCCACTCCCCAGGAGAATGTCTTTGCGCATCATCGCCGTGCTCAGCACTTCCAGTCAGCAGATTCCGAAGACGCTGAAGATGATGAAAATTACGAAGATGACGAAGATGAAGGCCCAGGACTTGATGGTGATGAAGGGACTGAAGCAAGGCCTGCTGAGCAAGATTCAGACCATGGGTATGTGTACATTTCACTGTTTTTGTCAAGTTCTGTACCACTCATATCATATTCAGTGAAGGTCCCTGTGTCACCTCATATACTCGTCCCTTTACCAGCATTGGTGATGACGATCTAGATGCAGCAGTCCGTAATATACTGCAACGATTTCCCAATGCCGGAGTCATCATGATGAGGGGTTATCTACGCGCCATGGGTATTGATATATCCAAGGAACGTGTTCGACAATCTCTTCTACGGGTGAATCCTGTTGAGCGTATTTTTGAACGGGTTCGCATTGAACGTCGCAAATATCAAGTCGCAGGTCCCAATGCACTCTGGCACCATGATGGTCAGCATGGTATGTAGCATGATGTCCTAACTTTACTATCACCAACTTATACCTTACGTAGCGCTCATTCGGTACCGTATCATTGTGCACGGTTTTATCGATGGATATTCACGACTCATCGTTGGGCTGCGTGCAAGCAATAACAACCGTGCTGCCACTGTTCTTAATCTCTTCCTTGCTGCATGCCATGTTTATGGGGTGCCGTCACGAGTACGGGGTGATCATGGGACAGAGAATGTTGGTGTTGCCTGTTGGATGGAGGACAATGTGGGTTCTGGTCGAGGCTCATATATATGGGGCAGGTATGCTTTACCATATTTCTACCTATCTCAGAGGGACTTATACTGACTTTGGTTCAATTTACTAGAAGTGTTCACAATGTTCGCATTGAACGCCTTTGGGTCGACGTGAAAACGCAGGTCCTGTCTCAGTGGCAGACCTTCTTTGCCAACCTAGAAATCCATCATGGATTCAATGTCAACAACATGGACCACATTCTCCTCCTTCACTACCTCTTCCTTCCCCAGATCAACAATGACCTTGCTTTCTTTGCGTCGGGTTGGAATCATCACAAGGTGTCTGGTACGGGCGGTCGTACTCCATCCGAGATGTTTGGCTGGGACATGTATGTTCATGGTGTGCGTGGTTATCAGCTTGCACCTTTAGCAGATGATGTCCCACTGGAGGACCTTGAAGACTATGGTATCGACTTTCGGGGTCTTCGCGATCCTCAGCTTCTTCTTTCTCGAAACAGCAATAACCCTATGGATGAAGGTACCTCAACATTTCTGGGCCGAATTCCTCGTCCTGAACACATGAACACAGTTGAGGTGGAAACGGATGAGGTAACCTGGCCTGCTGATGTTACGCAGACCTTGCAGTGGATGATGCAGAACACCTTAGTGTCAACTGACCCTGCGCGTATGTATTATTTGTGGACACAGGCTCTCATTTATATGCGCATACACTTTGGTGATGATATCTTCTAGCAATGGTCAATGTAATAATCTGTATGGATATATGTATATACATTGAATTCAGATTAAGTATCAATTATCTCAAGAACTGCAGATACCATTCAATTAATAATGAAGTACCCTAATCAATGACCAAGAATCATATCTACTCAGGCCCCAAGTCCTTCTCCTTCCTCTTTACATGCTTGTGTCGGTTTCTCGGTTTATCATATTTCTTGGACATGCTAATCTGGTGCTGCCTTTGCCCTGGACTGAGAGTATTCCACCAACGCTCCGCAGCGACCACCAAACTATTATGGGTGAAGAGGGTAAGCACATCCCGATGACCTCCTCCCAATACCTGCGCACAGTGCGCCAGCAGTCGGGCAGCCATTGTACAACCATCTCCTGATTGCAACATATACTTCTGCTCAAGTTGTGAAAGACATACCCGCCCGGTCTCGAAATCCCCTAGTGAGATCACAACCGCAGGGATCCTCTTGTGGTCGAGCCAGTCAACATGATACTTCTCACTTCCACGCTCGCTGATGGCAATGGCAGTGAAGAGTGGGCCCATATCAAGGCCTGGCCACTCGTCGAATGTCTTTCGGATATCACTATGATGAAGTATCCAGCAGCGGACTCTGCTCATAGTACCAAGGTTAATACAGTGAGTGATGGACCAGAACAGTTACTGTTGGAGGACTCACTTGGTCATTGTCTCTAGTATTTCGGGGTGCTCTTCTCTCAGGATGGCATCGAACTTGTCAAAAATAGGCGTACGCGCATATTCAAGAGCCTCATTCAAGGCCTCTTTGGCATCCAGCGAAAGGTCCTTCCACTCCGCGGTGATGATAGGTACACTGCTGCAGGGCTGCCATACACCATGATGTTTTGCGGGGTGATCGGATCCTGCTGGTCCCGTATTCTTGCGATGCTTGTCACGACCGAACTTGGCCCGACCATCCGCATACCTCTTGACAGGCATCTTCAGCCGCATTGCAGCAACTCGCCGACACATCCCAATGACATGCTCCTTTGCTACGACCTTTGGGTATCTCGCAAAGATAATTGGAGGACCGACACCATCGCCTCCATGGTAGTGAGGATTGTGGACGCGTATCCGAGTGCGTTTATCGTCAGTCTCAAGCTCATCTGCAGGCGTACAAAACTTTTTAGTAAGCCGGCTGGAGTCCATTGACCCTGTGGCGAACTCGTCGTGGTATGCTGGGGGAAATATATCGACTGTCCGACTGTTAGTTAGTCGGATCACAGGTCATATCCTCATACTATCCTCACTCACCAGTCTTCTTCTGCCACGCCTTCTTCTTCTTCTTCCAATACGGAGCAGACTTCTTATCGCGCTCGGCCTGCTTCTCTGGTGAACGGCTATGTCGTGGCTTTTTCACCTTCGGCATAGTGAGAAGTTGAATTCAATATAGTAGGGCCTCTTGGTATATATTATTTGTTGCGTACTAGGAATAGTACAGTCAGCTAAGGCGGCACTGACACTGCAGCCATAATAAAGAGGAAATGCCTACGTACCACAATGTGTAAATTCCCGATGTCTGAGAGCCGCTATATACTCGGCCAGATACTAGTTCGGGCCAGAAATAGATGATACTCGCAGTCGGCGGAGTCGATGCGAAACAAGTTCCGAGTCAAGGCTGACTGACGCAGAAACCTTGTTGAGATGGTGAATGCGTTCTGCACGCTATGCTGCCGTTGGTAGTCCTAGTCGTTGTTGAAGAACTTAGAAGGTGAAGTCTAATACAAGATGAATGTCAGTTCCGAGCAGACCGACGCCGGGGACTCCGAAAGTGAAATTGACGCAAGAGGAAATGGAAATAGTACCGTGACTTACAACTTGAAAATACTTACTTGGCACACAAACAGGCCCCTTCACGGCGAAGCTGTGATTGGTGCGTTGCCAAAGCACAGGTCCGAGTCAAATCAGTTGTCTTGAAGGCGACCTGCTGATTCGGAGGTGCGAACGATAGCGATTAGTGGATTATGGTCACGAAAGAGCACGTCGACGAACCTGATATTCAGCGTCGAACTTGGCTAAAGACGTAGCTCCTAGTATATTCCCGGGCCCGAGTCGCCTTGCAGTCTGCCAAT